ATTTAAATAAACTGATTCTTATTAGTTTGTTCCATTTTGATATCGGTGACTGAACCATTTCTAAATCGTCTAAATCATTTACTGTTTCAGTAGACCGTTTAACATAAGAACACCTAACTATTTGTATTTAGACAGTATCATTTGTCAATCATTTATTCCATTTTGCAAACCATCACTAAACCATTTATGTTTGGTCTGTGCCATTTAATAATCTTGTACTTTTGGTGGTGATGGCCGCCCATACCATTCAACACCTCTAGAGCTGCTTATTTCAATCTAGCTGAGTTAGAATAATGCTTATTGGTCAATGCATAGTTTTATAACAGATTGCTTAATCATTGCCTACTTTTTGGAAACTTGCTGGAGCTTCATCTCAAGTTCAGTAATTTTCATGTCTTTTTCTAAGAGCAAAGCTTGCTGTTTTTCAACCTTCTGCTGCAATGAACCTCTTTCCTCCTGAAGTTCAGCAACCATTTTTCCATAGTACTTTTTACACATATCCAACATTGTCCTGTAACTATTAGCATCCATGTCCTCGTTTGACTCTCCTGATTTGTCATTCTGCTGTTCGCAGATAAGTTCTTTTAGATTAAACCTTCTTTGTTCTTCGTTGAGTCGAATCTCTTCCAGATCAAAGACTACCGTTTGTGTCATTGTTTCAATGGTTCCTCTCAGTACCTCATTTTCTTCTCGTAACTTCTCAAGTTTCGGTTCGGATTCTTCACTGTTGCTAGAGGTAACACTAGCTCTGTCCTCGTTAGAATCTGTTGATAGCGGACCATTCATTTTAACCTTCGCCCCAAGTTCGCCCGCCAGCTCCAAAGCCTTGTCTCTTTCATCCTCCAAAGCCCTGATTTGTTCCAGTAAAGTCATTATCAGAGATTCGTTGCTTGAATTCGCCATTTCTCTTGTCTCGTTTGCTGGAGCAAGTCGTATAAACAGGAAGACAACGCCTGGAAATAAGACGCGTAAAATAACACAACACTCTTGAACTTTTCGTCCTAATTAACAATTAAACAAAATAAACTTCACGTATCGCCAATTACCTTTCAAGTTTTGAAATTTCTAACAGATTTTTCGTCGATACACGTCTTAAATGTTTCGAAGATTAAAATATTTCGCGTTAGTTTTAGTTTCTAATAACTTTCAAGCACGCAACGCACTAGAAAGCACCCTGAGGCGGCCATATTGGAAATGAGTCACGCAATGCATTTTGGGTAAATTGCGTTCAGCGGTTTTTCGCACGAGAATACAAAAGCGAAGCAAAAACTCAAGCAAAAACAGAGCACAAAGATGGAAAATATAATTTTAACTTGCAAGGCGAAATAATACGGAAAAATTGGGGATTATCTAAGCTTACTGTACCAGGAAGAATGTTCGATAACTTTAGAGATCGTTTGCAGACGGTACAGCATGATCTGAGCCAAGGGTAAGAGTTAATTAATTAAATAATAACAGGACCTCGTCTCTTTAAGACACCTCGTCTTGTGGTAGAAAGTTCACGTACACTTTAGTAATGTTGCATCATAGCTGCCTTGTTCGTGCGTTTTTTAAACTATTGTCATTCTCACATTTTCTTTCCTTTTAGCTGGAAATCGATCGCAGATAAGGCCAAGGCCGTTAACAAGAAAATAGTTCGGTTAGTAATGTTTGTGAATTAAATACTCATGACGACTGAACTATAAATGATCAACACTGTAGATTGAGGGAGGGTTGGCAAGCTAAAGCAGTTTAACTGAGGTTGAAAAGCTTAAAAAGAGTCATTTTGTTTGACTGATACAGAAAGACGACTTTTATAACGGATGAAATCATCGAAAGGTAGGTAGATCAATACCCTGAATTTTGTAAAAATTCCCATGCATTTTGCTCAGCTCGGAATCCCCAAATTTCGTATCCTTAAAAATAGATTTTTGAGAGTGTGTAAGTTAATTTTAATAATACTTTGCCACATATACAAAAACAAAAATATGGTGGGATAATGCCAGGGGGAAATTTTTAAAGTAAAAACCCAACTGTATAGATAATTACTTTTTTTTTTAATTGAGACAACAACTATAACCGGAATAAGTTACTGTGAAAATTGCTGGTAGGTGTTTTAATCCTGGCTGCCTCAAAATTTTCCAAAAGTCACTTACGGGTATATTCCATGCACTCCTTCAATTATAATTTAATAAATCAGTTATTGAAACATACAGTATTACTGTATAACTACCTGTACAATTGTTAAAGAATTATTACAGCTGTAGTGTGACTGTTAAAAGAAAGTTTTGATTGGAAGTCTGAAGAAATTGTGTATATCTACATGCAACTGCATACATACATGTATACACTCACTCTTCTTAATTCCGATTTAAATCTCCTCTCTTAGGTTGCCTGTGCTCGAAGTAGCACTAGTCTAAATTATTATGATTTTTTTTTGTATTTTACCATTTTTAAAATCTCATTTTTATCTCATCTCTCTCATTTTTAAATCTCCTCCCTTAGGTTGCCTGTGCTCGAAGTAGCACTAGTCTAAATTATTATGATTTTTTTTTGTATTTTACCATTTTTAAAATTTGTTTCAATGGTAATTCACATTAGTACTAGTTCTTTTTAGACAAAAATGAAGATGAGAGTAAACTGTATAAACTGCTGGGAGGTATTTAAATACTGGTCACCTCAACGTTTTCCAAAAGTCAGTTACGTTGCACCTAGGGCGTTATTCCACTCACCCCTTCAATTAGAGATTTGCAGGGAAGTGTCTACCCACTAGTTGATCTTTTGTGCTTCTTATTCTCCTGGGTATCTATTTATATGTAAATCTGTCCTAAGCTTTGGGTCACCAAAAAGGTCTTTCAGTGTTTGATGGACAATTTCAATGTTTTTTCAGTGGTGACCAGTGTTTCAGTTGTGATCTTGAGGCAGGCTCTGAAATCCTAAACAAGTAAGTACTCAAGTACTTGTCCAGCCATTTGATGCTATCAATCAAAATGAATTGTAAATACAGTCTAGCACAGTTAACCATTAAAAATACAGTCAGGTAGTCAGACTGTGAAGAAAAATGCATATTAAATAGTTGCATATGCAGAAGACTAGATGGCAAGTCTGCACACGAGCCAAGTGACCCATCAGGTCAGAGCT